TACAGCCTTGATTTTAAAAGAAAAACTCTACTTTCATCCTAAACAGGGTTCTCACCAGGATTTTTTATATTTCATTTATTATTCTATGCGCTACACCAGAGATTTCAACTTCCAGTCTTGGAGGGCTGTCGTCCTGCATCTTTTACAGCAGCCGCCATTAAAAATGTCCCCTCCCAGTCAAACGGCAGCTGAATGGCAGCCTGCTCCCCTGCAACTCCCAGAAAAATCCCCTCCGACTTCCAGTCACTTTTTACTCTGACTCCAGCCTTTCACTGAATTATAGGGTCTGACCAGGAGATGATGCTTCTCTTTAGATCTTAATGTCCACAAATCATGACAGAAAGAATATTTTAGTACAAAGATTGATGTTTAAAAATGAATAGTAGGGGACCAGCAGAATAGTAGCAGAGATTTTGAATGGCTACTAGTGTAGCTTCGTCTCTCCACGGGGGCAGAGTAACTATAAGGCAAAACTAGACTGTTGCCTTGGGCCCCAAGTTCCTGAGGGCCGAATAAAACTCCTCATGCAGGTCTGGTTAATACAGTTATAACTTATTTTCCCACATTAATTATGTTTTTGATTGAAATTATTTAGCTAAAATGCCCTCAGAAACATGTTTTTAATCTCCACTTCATTGGATCATTCCGTCTTACCTCACATGTGCAAAAAGTATCTAGGAAAGCAGCAGCAAAACACGTGAAAACAAAAGGGGGCAAAGAGAAGAAACTACCATAGCTGGAAAGAGGAAACGGAAGGATTTTGAAGCCTTCGTGAAAATCATTGGTTTTGCTAAAATGTGCTGAACAGAACCCTGGGGGAGGGATGCGCTGAGCCTGGGACCAAGCAAGTCTAGTTCTGATTTTCCTCAGATTTTTCTGACCTTTTTTTGGTCCTGAAATGTCTTAACAGAAGAAAAGAGAGATTTGTAGCTCATGTCCTGGGTATGTCTCATGGGTGGTGGACTGACGTTCTGAATCCATCTGCTCTCCACACATTAAGAATATCCTCTAAACTCTTTACACTTTGATTTGTAATTTCATAATGGCAGCTTAAAATCAGATGAAAATCTAATTTTACTGCTCAAACAATGGATTCAAAAGACAGCCAACCACAGATGTCGGTGTACCATCCCATTACTGTGTGTGTAAACAGCTAAAGGTTAAACCCTGATATAATGACTTACCTTTCGTCTTAAAGGAGAAGTTGCAGTGGACACAGTGGTACGGCCGAACATCTGAGTGGGTGCGTATGTGTTTGCGCAGCATGCTCGGCTTCTTGCAGCGAATGCCGCACTCCTCGCAAATGTATTTTCCCCGTCCGCGGCCGCGTACGTACACGTACTCCTCATTGGATTTGTACCTGTGGGTTTGCAGGGTCAAGATGAAGCCGACGACGAAAACATAAAAGATCCTCAAGATACAGAAAGTCGGTTGGTAACCATAAACGAGGTCTTACCCGCCGTCAAATATTTTGATGCGACGTGGCTCTGTTGAAGGAGCTACTTCCTTTTCTGAATCATTACTGGTCTGAGGTTCTGGTTGTAGTTTACCTCTGGTTTCTGCTGATACAGACTTCTGGGTAACTAGAGCCTGTAAAAGGACAAGGTAATTTCTTTTAGTAAATAAAAAACAGAAATTTGTCAAATGAGTATATGATATTTTTCTGGTGACTCACCTTTGGCATAATGTCCTTGAGTTTGCCTGAGTAGGACAAGGTGTCAGACTTTCCACTTGTCTTTATCGCAGAGGTGTAGTGGATTTTTTTGGAGCTCTGCTTGGAGTCAAACAGAGATATTACCACCTTAGTGGGGAGCCCCAGGGGGTTGGGATTGTTGGGGCTTACACTCCAGGAAGCATATGCTGACGTCTTCTGATTAGCCTGCTGAACGTGAAGAGGCTTCCTCTTCATCAGGTAACACCATGTGAAGGTGGTGGTGGTCTTTAAACTTGGAAATGACAAGCGGTGGGTGTCCTTTGTGTTCACCACAGATACAGATGTGGTCAGTCTCCCCTGACCAGAGTGAAAACTGGCAGGTCGGATCAAGGATTTGGCCGGGGACCACCTGTGCTCATCAATTTTCTCCTGCGGCTTTAGGGCAGAGGTGGTGATGGTGGTGTCCTGACTCCCTGGCGTAGCAGTGAGAACAACCTCCTCCGCATTCACACTTCCCTTGTCTTTGTCAAGCCCAGAACCGTCAGGTGACATAGGTTTCACATCGTCTGTTGCTTCAGTGTCCTTCTCAGAGTCCGTTTTAACATCTGGCAGAGGCGGAGCTTCGGTCTCAATTGGGCTGTCTGCCGGTTCTGTTGTGCAAACCTGCCGGACGAGCATTAGTTTCCTTTGTCTCGTAACCTCAGACATCTTTGAGTTCAGGTAACTAAGGGATCTTCCGTCTGTCAGACAGGCGACTCCGTGCTCATCCTTGGCCCGTTTCTGGTGCTTCTCCATGTAGATGTCCAGACTGTTGGCAGGGGACAGCATGCGCTTACTGGAAGCAATTGGTTCCTGCTGGGGGCAAAGTGTCACTGAGGCCAGTTTCTGCATGCAGATTGAAGGAACTTGGTCTGGATCTGGTAGAGGAGTTGTCTTTGCCACCAGCACAACTGGAGGGTTGCCCTCAACACTCTGAGATGATGACATGCTGTTCTTTTTGGACAGGGAGGAAGACGGATTCATCTGCTCATGAGTGATCAGAATCTGCGGCAGTGGGACAGGTCCTTGTTGGTTCTGCGTATTAGTCTGCTCCTCATTTGACACAATAGTTTGGGTCTTGACCTCAGAGGCTTGGTGACTGGCAACAAAAACATTCGAGACTGCATCTGAAAATTTGGGAACGCTTAGCATGGGATTAGTTATTGGAATAGTGAAAATTGGCAAAGCAATCTGAGCTCCCTGGGTGCAAGAGAAGGAGAATGTTTGGTTTGTTCTCAGAGAACACTGGAGTTGGTATTTGGGAATAAAACATTTCTTCTCTTCAATGATGACTGGTTTGTTTTGGACAGTTTCCCGACCCACTGAGATCTGGTGTAAGGGCTGCTGGATCTTCTGGGTAACCTTAACCCTTGACGCTTGGTGCCAAGGATGTGGAAGACCGTGGACTTGTGGTTGCTGAGTCGGACTTCCCAGATTAATGCTTTGCACCATTTGCTCATTCTTTTGCAGTGGCGCATCTGCCGGATGAAGGACAAAAGGCTGAGCTGCAGGGCGTCTGCTGGATATGTGAATCTGCTGGGATTTGTTCTGAGGAAAGGAGCTGACATTTGTGATTGAAGGAACTGCACTTTTCAGCACAGGCAGCTGACTCTCAGGGCCAATCTTTAAAGACATCTGTCGGACCAATGGCCCACGCCTCCTCTCTATAAGTGGTACCTGAGAGAGTTGTCCAGTCTTTGGTTGACCTACAGGGGACAGCGATCTGCTGGGAGACACGTTTCCACAATCAAAGGATTTGCTACGATAATCACATGAAATCTCAACCGAGGGCTGGGTACAGGTAATCTGCTCAGATGCGGCACGTCTCATCATTCCAGGCACACCAAGGGTGTTGAAGGCTGCTGACAGACTTTGGGTATCCGGGACCTTTCCAGAATTATCAGCTCTGGATGGACTCTCAGATCGAGAAAGCTCGTCTCTGTCAAAAGAGGCAGAGATGCTGGAACAACGAGAGAGACTGCTGTCCCTACTGAGACTGCGTGAGAGTGTGGACTCAAAGCTGGATTCACCCGAAGAGTGATCCATCTGGGCCAACCGGATCCTTTTCTTTTTTGGGGGAAGTTTCTCCGCTGGTAACTTTGACAAACTCTCGCTTCTCTGAGGCCAGTTGAACTGATCTGGAGGCTTGTCTGCGGGCTCAGCAGCCTGCGTCTCGTGCTCCCTGTCCGAATCTTCTGTGACTAAAATTTCAGGAACTTGGATGTTACTTTGTCGAACAAGACGAGACTGATGGACGGGTGTGGAGTTTATACTCAGCCTGCCATCACCGCTCGGCTCCTTTATCTGGTTCCCAAAACCAGTACTGCTGGATGGCGCTATTTTTTCATGGTAGGTGTTGGAAGAGCCAGCTGTTGTTCCATCTGTTTTAGCTTCATTCAGGGAATCTTTATTTATGGCTATGACTGGAGACACCCTATCGATAGAGTCTGTCTCAAATGAGCTGTGGCTGGTCAGAGAGTTGGTGTGTTTAATCACTGATGTGCCACTTCCCTGCCTCTGTAGCTCTCCTTTCATTGAGCTGTGGTTCTGGTTTTCTCTGATTGGCGATAGTCTGGAATCTGTGTTCATCCCTCGTGCAACAAGCTGGATCTGAGGTAGCTTTGACTGGTTGTTTTTAAGTTGGATGTCAACTATCTGAGTATGGCGAGGGAGCGTTCTGTTTGTAGGATCTATAGGGGATTCAAAACTAACAGAGCATGGTGGAATGGTGTCAGTCGGAGACTGATCGTCTTCATCTCCAACACTTTTCATTATCCTCCTCTTCCTGAAAGATGTCTGATGATCCAGTATCCCTGGGTTGATTGCTGACCTCAGGATGGTTGGGTGCTGTACATTCACGTGAAAAACATCTTGATCGCTCTCTTTAACAGCAACCGGCTTGTTCTTAGGGGCCCGGAGCTCAGAGCAGTAGAACTTTCTATGAGTTTCAAAGTTCTCCAATTTCCGGTACCGATTCCGACAGGTTTCACACTCGTACATTGTGCCTTTGTTCTGCTGTGGCTTCTTGTTTTTGTCCTGACCATGCTCAAATGACTTACTCCTCTGCATCAGGTCAGCAGAGATGCTTGGTCCATGATAGCCTTCATCCATTGAGCGCACAGAAGGGAGGCAATGACCCTCACTTGTTGAAAAGTCTTCCACCGCCACCTGTCTCACCAGGGTGCGGGAATGTATGGCAGGGTTTGGAGTTGGTGGAGCTGATGAGAATACCTCATCATTTAGGGAACCAATTTTATCATCAAATGATTGACAGCCCCTCAGAGGATGGGGGATGGGAGCAACATTTACAGGTAAGGCCGAATGTCCAGGTGTCGTTGGCATGGAGTTGCTCCGTGTTATTGGCAGACAGTCCATTGGAGGGTAGGGAGAAGGAACGGAGAGCAAGAACACTGGCTTTGACTTATCTGTGGGGGTGAATGGGGACTTTGGGATGTCTGAGCTGGAACTCGACCGTCTTCCTATTGGTTTTAAATCAAACTGAAAAGAGTCTTTAAAAATGTACGATTTTGGGGAGTCTATGCTTCCTCTCCTGGACAGAGAAGTTCTCCGTGGCTTAACGCTATCCAGCTGTTTGTTGTCCACCACTGCTTCATTGTCAGATATCAGCTTCGAAATGCGTTCTTCCAGCGAGCGTGCACTCGCTTCCAAAGGTGGCCGCATTTGTCTCTCTGTGGGCCGTGATTTTTGCTCGGCTGCAACGTGCATTACCGTTGTAGGCAAAGAGGGGATGCTTGGAGGGGTGTTCTTGGTAATGTCAGGGTCAACTGGGGGAGTTATTTTTACAAATGGACTTGTGGGGCTCATGGCCTGGTCAGCACTTTCAGAGCGAGAGAAGTAACCAGAATCTGTGCTTCCTAAACTGCGGGGACTGAGTAAACACTTGGGCTGCTGCTGCTGCTGAGAGAAGTCTGTCGCTTGCTGTCGCTGGAGTTGAGCATGCCCAGCCAATAGAGGAGACTTGCACTGCTGGTCTTCATCTTCGCTCACAGTATCAAGTGAGAGATTTGTACCTTCCACCTCCTTCAGGGAGGACAGAAGGCCTGATCTCAAATTTGTGGCCTGAAATTCTCGTTGCCTTTGCACAGCAGCTTGCTCAGGTGCAGCACCAGTAACTCTTGGACTATCTGCCCTCAGAGGCGACACGTTAACTGGATACACAACAACTTTTGGAAGTGCAGCGGTCACTTTCGGTTCATAGGCCTTCTGACTTGGAGAGGATTTTACTAAAAAGTTTGGCTCTGCGGATGTTATGCCTGTACCCTGTAAACTGGTTTCAGAGGAAGCGGCTGTACAGCTTGGTGTAGCGTCTGGGTCCAGATCTGCAGTGCTACCCTCTTCGTCGCTGTCACCGCTCTCCTCTGCCTCTGAGTGTGTACTGGCAGCTTTGTCTGATTCTTGAGACAAAGATCCGCCTCCAGATTCAGAGCGTGCCATAAGCCCCAGCTTTATCGCGTGAGCATGGGATTTCTTGTGCTTGTACAAATTACTCTTTGTTTTGAAGGAGAAGCCGCAGGTGACGCAGGGATATGGCCGCTCTCCTGTGTGAGACCTGATGTGTTTGAGCAGCACGCTGGGTTTTGCACATGCCCGGTTGCAGTATTCACACACATACTTTCCAGGCTTTTTAAGTTTTTGGTCCTTGGCAACTTGCTCAGCACCAAAGTTCATGACTGTGGTCATTTGCATCTGGTTTCCAGCTGGTGTTACTGGAACCTGAACAGTGCAGGGAACATTAGCAGGAACAGACTGGCATGTTTGTGCTACTGGGGGTTGGCTTTGGGGCAGAGCATTGGTGCCCATTGGAGCTGGTGGTCCACTGCTAAAGTTCATGTGCAAGCCGGACATTTCTGAACTTGAAACAACCGGCACAAACTGTGGGGCAGCAAGAGGAGCGGCGCCCTGCTGGGATGTCTGTAGATTTCCATGAGGAGCTGCTGCTATGCCAATTACATTCCCTTGTTTGTCGATGTAATAGGTCTGCATTTGGGGTGGCTGGGTCTGGAGACCTATGTTGACTGCAGGGAGGGGCGTTACTTCCCTTCTGAGCTGAGGATGAAGAGCAGCAGGTGGTTTGTTGATGGCATTGGCCTGTGAAGGACTTTTCCTCTCTGTCAGCTTGCTGAAGTCCGGTTCCATGGCCTTCAGCAGGGCGTCCAGAGGATCACTGCTGCGGTAAGACTCTCCCACGAAGCTGTGCTCTGGGCTCTTGCTGTCTTTGGCAAGAAGCTCTTCAGCGTTAACCTGGGAGGTCTCCTTACTGGCCGAGGGATCACGCGACGGTGGCCTAGAAGATGTTCCCTCTTGCTTTACCTTCTCAGCATCAGAAAAACGTGACCCCTCCTCGAGGGATGCTGCAGTTTGTAGGACATCTTCTGGATCTTCTTTTATGGGCTGAGATGTGGAAGAATCGTTGGTGGGTCGGATAGGTAGGGACGAAGGTGTTGTTTTCCTAGGTGACGAGTCGCTGACTGCAGCTGCACATATTTTTGACTTCAGGGGCTTCTTCACTGGAGATTTGGGATTTTTTTTCAGCTGATTCTCCGCAATAACTTTTTTCCTCTTCAGACCCTTTATGCTGTCCACAGCCCCCCGAGAGTTCTCAGCTATGCCTGTGGAGACAGACAGAAAATGCATCATCTGTACAGAAGAACAGCTTTGTTTCTTCTAAGAGCAAAAAAAAAACATCCTTTATGAGCTGAAAGTAAATCCCCACAGGATTCAGCTTTTTTTATAATTAGAAATTAATATATTCTAACATTGAAATCCTTTCCTTAGCCCCAAGTGAACCATTAATAAAGCCAAATTGGGGGAGTGCTGGCCTAGTGGCTAGAGCTGAGAAGGATGAAAGTGTCCGATTTGATCCCCACAGCCTCTCCCCAGGCGCCGCACAGTGGCAGCCCACTGCTCCCCATGGAGATGGGTTAAATGCAGAGATAAATGTCTCAAATGTGAGATCAATAAAGTTTATTATAATTATTATAAAATAGGATGATATTAAAAGTGAGGAGAAATAATAGTATTTTTCATTACAACAAATAAAAATATGGACAGATAGTGTGTATCCTATTGTAAAATGGTTAAAAGAAAAATATAAAGAGTTTAGAGTTTTTGTTTTTTTTCAGCCTCATCCTTTGGTTTCCCAAAAAAAATCTCCAATAAAATCTCTAAAATTTTCAAACAGCGTTTAAAATCGCACATTGAGTCAAATATACAGGAAAGTTTGTTCCATTATTGTTGTGAGAAAAAAAAGGTTTTGAAAAAAAATAAATAAAGTAAATCCAGAAATTACACTTTGAAAAACTTCTAATTCAAAAAAA